AATTCACATTTCTAAATTTTCACTATAATATAGCAAATCTTTGAGTTTTGTACCACTTTAATAGCATAGTGCAAGGACCAGTGTTATGCTGAGTTTTCTGATTATAACATATACAAACTTCTCAACACAACAATACTAATATAACCTATTTCTCTTTGGTTACTATAAATGATCAAATTGACCACCGCCCTTTACCTATTTAATAATCAGCTTTCTCCTTATTTTTGTAAGTGGTTACATTTTAAAAAAAAGCCCATCCTGCATAAAACACTGACACTGACTGGGTGTATCTGATGTGGCTGCAATACTGGAAAAGGGAGGGGCAACACTGTAAGCCAATCAAGCTTTTATGCGTTGCCAAGGCTGTCAGTCTAACAAGGGAAGCTTGTTGGAAGTAATAGTGACCAAAGGAATGACCTTACCAGCGAGATTTAACCTCATTGACTATGGTGGGCCTGACCAAGCTGTATTACTTCAAGATTGGGGACCTGGCTTTGGTTTCTGACTTTAGTGCCTAGATTTCAAGCCTGGATGAACAGTATTAAATATTTTTGTCAGGAAAAGAGTTCAGACATATATATTTCAACCTTGAATTTAGTGGTTTGCCTGCAGTTCTGCTTTAATAAGCACACGTTTTATTCTTTTTAACAAAAGGCACTTTACTAAATTATAATAAATTACTGCTGTAAAAAGACCGATAACTTTGCATGGTGTGTTATTTCTTATTATAAATATACTTTGTAAAGAACGCATGTAAACACTTTTCTTTGTATTTTAGTTTCTAGCTATCAGATGTAGTAACGGTGGATAACTCCAGAATACTAGAATTGTGTTTGACAACTTGTAAAACATTTTTTAATGAAATACACTTAGCAATTTGTCCACACTTTTATGATCTGTTTAGTATTCTTCAATGCATGCATGAGTGTCTCATATATTATTAATAGTGCCCACTTTCCAGTGTAACATAACTTAAATCTTCCTGCAAATATAAAATCATGTTCACTAATGGTAATTACTTAAAAGACCGAACTAAGTCAAGACAGTAATTATGTTTGAGACCATGTAGGGTCATATACATATAAGAAATAATATCGCATTATACAAATTACAAGGCAAAGGACAGTTGGCACACTGTTGAAGACTCTGTTTGCTAGCAAAGACTTGCTGAAAGGTGTGCTTAATGATATTCTGAATTTGTTAGCATATTTGAAAGTAGATGATATCCTGGTATCCTGTATGTCCTAGTACTGGAAGTTATGGTACAGAAAATTAAAGTATACCTAAAGGTGAAGGTATTTTTTTTTGATTTGGATAGAGTAGCAAGTAATAACCACTGTCAGGTTTTTATTGCCATCTGTGTTAGGAAGATTTACTCTCTTTAACTGTCCTGATCACCAATGTCACTGTGAAAACAAGTGAGGGTAGATCCATTGTTTTGAGTTGGCACCTTAGCAGGAATAGAGAGTAAATCTTCCACTTCCAATAGGGACACTTGTTCCCATGACAACTATCTAAGAAGGGATATCCCTCACATTGGAAATCTATCCTCTCACTTCCTGTTGAGTCTACAGGACAGAAAGTGAAGATAAATGTCCCTAAAGACAAACGGGTAGCAAAAAAAAAAAAAAACGACAGTGGTTTAACCTTTTCCTACTCTTTCCAAAAATTAATAACAGCTTTGACTTTAGATGTACTTTAATGTCACATGCGTTCCAAAAGCTGTAAGATGTTCTGGGACTTAGTTAGCAGTCTTGCTCAGACCAGTGGTTTTAAGAATGCGAGGTTTGAGGCTTCAGCAAATACTTTTGTACTTCGCTTCATTTACTGTGCAACTTGGACTTTTTTGGAGCTTCTTTTACAGATAAACTAAAACTATAAGCAATTTTCTAGAAAGAATTACAATCCTACTTTTACAGCCCTATATTTAATAACATCCTCTCCTGCCCAGGTGACACTGCAACTGAAATCTTTAATCTCAGCTCTATTTTTCAGGGGAACCTATATGCTGGCGGGTTTCTGTTTCCTGTCTGCACACACTGGGCAGTGGGGGCAAGGTGGATCATTTTTGTGAATGCTAATGATTAAGGGCTTACAGGTAGGGAGTTGGGCATGCCAATGATCTCCTATAAATAGGAAAGACTGATGTGAAGTGCTAACATCTACCCTTAGCATAATTGTTCACATTGTCGTTATAATAAGCAAACTAACACGGCTATTCACAAAAGAGTGAAGAGTTTGGAGAAGGCAGGAGACGTGAACAATCTAGGACAACATAGCTGAACTGGAAAGTGAGCTGAATTGGAGAATTTTTCCTAATCATCTATTTTGGCCTAGATAGTTCACTTATCCTGTCTTCTCCAAACTCTTCACCCTTTTGTGAATATCCCTCTAAATGTTTAAGTATTATATATATGCTATCATAGCACAGTTTGTTCCCATGTAGCAACATCCATAATTCTCCTCCAGCCTTTTTTCTTTTTTTTGGAGTGGGAAGTATCTGACCCTCTGTCCCATTTTGATGTCCTGTGTTTTTGATTGGTGTCAAATAAAACAAGGAGCTAGCATTTTAAACATTTAGAGGGGAATTTATCAAAACTGGGGCTGCCAGAATCTGGAGCAGTTGCCCATGCCAACCAATCAGCTTCTGTCTTTCATTTTTAAAGCTTAACTGAGCAAACAGAAAAGAGAAGCGGATTGGTTACTATGAGCAACTGCTCCAGATTCTGTCTTCTCCAGTTTTGCTAAATTCCCTCCTTAGAACTCTTGCATAGAGACACAGTATTCCCCCCACCAGATAGCTCCAGATGCAGTGTAAAGCCTCACATAAACTGCATTACGAACGAAACACTCTTTAGCAAAAAGTCACCCATAAGTAGAGGTTTGAGTGTTTTCTGTGTACACTGCAATATGCACTGCCTCTATTCTTGGCATGCCGGGAATAGAGCTAGATGCCAGATATATTGTATCTCCTGAATGAATGCTCAGGAGTTACATCATCGGTGGCCACTCAATAGCCACCCAATGGCAGAAGAGGATAGCCATAGGTCCCAGAAGAATTGCTAGTGGGGATTGCAGTGGTGAGGGACACGGAGGTGGCAGGATTCTAGGTGGCAGGATCCTAGACCAATCATTGATGGAGGCCAAGCACAGGAAGAGGTAGGGTATGCCATAGGGGTTGATTTTCTAAAGGCAAATAGGCTGTTCACTTTGCTAGGGAATTTGCACTTTGATGGGGACGTTTCCCTTAGCTTAGTTAATGAAGTGAGGCTCCCATCATTCAATCATGTGCAATAAAAAATTAGTTTTTATTGTATTTACCTTGCACGTGATTTGGTAATCTTTGCAAAGTGGAATTTCATCACAATCACCAAGCTAAGGGGAAACTTCCACTACAAAGTGAAGATTCCCTTGCATGGTAAGCCCTAACGGGCAGGGCCCTCCTTCATATATTGACTTGAATTGTATTGTGATTGTAATGTCTTTATATTGTAAAGTGGCGCCCAAACTGTTGGCGCTATATAAATCCTGTATAATAATAATAATAATAATGGTATAATAATAAACAGCTTTTTGCTTTTTGTAAACCAACCCCAGTATCTGCAAGAATGCTGTTCATAATTGCACATTATGTCAAAAGCTCACCCCCACCAATGCGTTAACTTCCACTTTCAACTAAAAAAACATACTGTTGAGTACTTTTTGCCACAGTGATATAGTCTGTAGGATTGCATTCTTATGCCTTGTACCTATTTTTTTCCTTGTACTTGTCAGAAGAAAAACATTGCATCCTCTCATAAAATGTTTCTACTATAAAATGCAGCAAAAAGATGGAGACAGGCTATTGTCTAGGATAAAAGCTGACAATATACCTATTTAACCAGTCCTGTACTTTAAGCATAACAAAAGTCTGCTACATATCTAGTAGAGTGCAATGAAACAACAAAGCATAGCGTCCTATTTAAAAACAATGTCTTTCACGGTCACATCATTCACACTTTCACTCACAATGAACATACAAAGTACATGTAGAATTATAAAAATAAAACACTTCTGTAAAGTTAACGTTTCCACAACCATTGTTGTATCTGTTTTTATAAAAGCAACAACTCCTGTTCATCCTGTATATACTGTATTGTTCTTGGGTTTAAGTACAATTTGATACACTTTAATGACATTTAGAAAAAAATGCTTTTAAAACTACTTCATTTTCATCAAAATTATCAAGGTCAGTATCCCATAGAAGCTCTCACTATCCAGCAAATGCTTTCAAACTTGCAGACAACTCTGACATTGGCCACAGATGTATTCATTTAACATTTCACAGATGTACATTTTGACTTATAGTATACTTTCAACTGCTAACTAATTTCTAAATTGTGGGGAGAACCGCTATTTTAGTACATTGACAAATAATTTCTATATGTTTTTGCAGTTAAAGTTTTTCTTTAATCACAATAAATCAAAACATATTCAGTACATATCTGCAATACATGCATATTTACCTTCGTTTTATGTCTTTATAAATGCAGCAAGTATAGATAAATAACTGTTGATCCTGCCAGAAATCATTTGGCTTTCTATATTCCTGTAGTAAACTGCACAGCACAGTGCAGCTCTGCTCCACTGAAATCCAAAGCAGTGTTCACAGCCCTGCCCAGTTCTCTTCTGCTAGATACAGAACATCGCCCCATCTCCGGTCAGGATGACAACACTGCTTGGGATTTCAGTGCAATAAAGGTGGTGTTGTCAGCCAACAGCAGGAAGTTAAGAGCTTGCTGGATTTCTGGTTGGTGGTCAGCAGGTATACAGTATTTCTGTATCTGCAGAGTTTTTAAGAAACATAACATGGGAAAATGTGCATACATTGCCAAGATGCACTTAGTGTCTTTGCTATATCCTATTAAAATGACTGCTGTTTCAGGTTGTTCACAGTGTTACTGTCAAGGCTGCTGCTATCATTAATATAGTTAACACATGTCTTTCTGTTTACATTTCAGGCTTTTCCCTGCATTTCTACAGGAATTTATGGTAAGGAATATGTTACCTCGGAGTATTGCATATAGTTGAATAATTGCTTTTGTCTGTGAATCTTAACTCTGTTCCAAATATTTTCAGTGCTGTTTATTAGATGACACTTGGGTCAGTGTATGTTCCACATTACACCCATGCTGTTATATTATTCCCCATGCATATTAAGAATCACCAAGGTCTTGTTTAGATTTGATGACGTATAGAGAAGGTTTTACATTTTATGAGGCTAAATGTACAGTACAAGGGATAATGTATGTGAAACCATTTTCTTTTTTCTTGTTACAGATATATATGTGTGTATACATAGATATCTCTATATATTTATATATAGAGATATCTATATATAAAGGTTCTACTTCCTGTTTTGTAGTGTTACAGAACCGCTGTGCTTTACTGCTCCTTCTCTCAGTGCAAATGTATGAGTCAGATGACTCATTAAAAAAAATGCCCACGTGACTGATATATCAACAGTCAGTGAGAAACGTTGAGCAATTACAGAGGAACACATAGCTCCCTCTAGTATTTAAAATGCCATAATGTATTATAATAACAGAATGATGGTAAAGCAAGCATAATGTGAAAGATATAAGAAATGACATTATGGCATGGGTGGACATATTTATATGGAATTCAGGAGCCAGTCCAATCCAGGAGCAAGCAGGATTTTTTTTAGGAGCCAGAATACTGGTAAAGCAAGCATAATGTGAAAGATATAAGAAATTACATTATGGCAGGGGTGGACATATTTATATGGAATTCAGGAGCCAGTCCAATCCAGGAGCAAGCAGGATTTTTTTTAGGAGCCAGCTCCATTGACATCAACTAGAGAAAACATCAAAAGTTAGGCACCAGCTGTAAAATGTGGAAATCTATTATGTTATAGCAGTCCTTTCACCAAAACACTGCAAGCTTGAGAGTTGACCTGTTTACTTTGTTGGTGAGGCACTGTGTTTGAGTTAATTGCATTTGTACTCAAAGCATTTTTTATAGGCAGGAACATAGGCAGGAACACAAAGAGACAACCTTGTGTCAAGGTTGTGAAGGTGGGAGCGTTTCAAATTAGCAAAAGAAAAAAGTCAGGCTAACACAAAAATGATCTTTCAAGAGATGGACACTAACATCTCTTCATCTTTACCTGATTATGTTTTTGTATGTAATACTGTTGTACATTTTTAGTTAATTCTGGGTTCTCTATTTAGTGCTGCTGTTGTTTGATATTTAGGTCTGTATTATATATCCCAAAAAAGGGAATTAATTTGTTGTATATTAAGCAAATGTGCATTTTTGCATGAACTGGTTTGCTAATTTTGGATATTGTCCTGCAGAGGCAGAGCCAGCTGTGCCTGCCCCCTCCCCTGTCCGTCCCTCCAGTCAGTGCTGGAGGAACAGAGAGAGGAGGGGGGGGAATCCTCGTGGGGATTGGTGACTTACAGTCTTTGCTCTCTGCAGGGAGAAGATGGTGAACTGAGCGATCAGCGGTTTGTGATCCTTCAGTTCTCAAGCTATAGAGTTGCAGATAGCTGCAGTGTCATACATTGGCTCCAACTATAGGGATCAGTGTATTTCACTCTCCAGTACTATTTGATAAATTGCAGATTGGTTGACATCAAAACTCATTATTGCTTAGCTAGGTAGTTACCTTTAAGTTCCTTTTATAAGAACATGTGGTTTTTGATGGTCGCTAAAAGTTATACCTAAAGGCGCCTGCAAACTTCAGAAGAGAATATTTGGTGCATCTAGCTTTTTATTTAAATGTAGCCCCTACCTTAATCAGGAGTTAAATTTAGTACAGCCAGAGCTTAATTAATTAGACCTTATTTCCTTTGTTTTCCTTAATCACAGCTTGATAGCTTTCTCCTGCCTTCTATTAGGGGGTGTCTCTGGTAATAGATTGGGGAGAAGCAATAGGGTTCATCTATGAATATTGTTGTCCTTCTCAGGCCAACAACTAGGAGTTTTGTTGGCAATGGTGCATGATAGCGAAATTATATAAACATTTGTGATAACCTTGAGAAGAGGTCCTTCCCCCCCGACCCCCACGCCATCCTCACAGTGCAGTAGCATATTCTTGCAAGATTTCAGGTACTCATCCTTGGATCTCACCAGAAATGGCACCCTAATTTAAACAGCAGAGGCTGGGGCAAGGTAAGCATATGAACAAACGTTTCCTCCATAGGCTATAATTGGTAGAGTATATTGCCATGGGGGAAAAGTGTAAAAAAAACAAAAAACATGGTGGACCTTGCATTGTTATTGGAAAGTCTGTTTAAGCTTCGTCTTGATCGGGATTGACTAGGGATAAAATGCCTACACTTTTAAATTCTACTGTTAAATGTATAGCAGAGCTGTTGTTGTGGAATTAATGTGTTAACATATTCTAGTGATCACCACATAAAGAGCTGTCCGTTGGAAATAAACATATTCACAGTTTCATTTACTGGGCAAAGCAGACAATCTGATGTGTCAAGCTACCGTACAGACCTAGAAACAAGATTTAATCATGTGTGCATGTCTAGATGAGACAGGAACACGCAACAAGAGGTTTTTATGAGAGGAGAAATGAATGAGCTGCAGTGTTGGTGGATATGACATATCACAGTGCCTGCACATTAGCTCAGCATGTTTAGAGTGACTGGTCCACTTCACAAAGGATCGGTTACATGAGCCATCACTGTGATTACATCTAAAGACATTCATTATGTATGAATGCTAGTGACATGGATATGTTGGACTTAACACATCAAGTTACATAAATATTAAACCTATGCCATATGCATTTTGTATTTATATGTATTATTTTTCTTTTGTTTGTTTTATCCTTGTGGCCCCACCCACTTCTCCAAAATGTGCTGGGTGCACATAGATCTGTGCACTCATGGAACCCCGCTATGAATAAAACAAAATAAGAATTATCCAGCCATACACAATGCAGCTAACAGCAGCAGGCTGAGTGAATCAGTGTATGTAGGGAAGTCTAACATTTTTATTTACATTACGCTCCATCAAATTGACAACTAAATAAAATATTTAAGACAATGTATAGTTAAGATATGCTGTGAATTAATCCAGATATATAACTATCAATTTTATCCAGACACCACTGCCAGCAGCACAGCCAGACCCTAGATGTCTCTGCAAACTGAACCTTTAGATGAGCAATATAGACTAGTCTAGAATTCACCCAGCTCGTGACTTTCTATTAAAGGAACAGCTGATATCATTACTGTGTTCTCTCATGAGAAACTCTTACAGGGTTATTTACAAAAGGGTGAAGCGTTTGGAGAAGCCAGGAGAAGTGAACAATCGAGGACAACATAGCTGATTTGGAAAATGTCTCCAATTCCGCTCACTTTCCAGTTCAGCGATGTTGTCCTACTTTGCTCACTTCTTCTGCCTTCTCCAAACTGTTCACCCTTTTGTGAATAACCCTGTAAATGTCAAATTGACAGCACTGTGCAAAGCAGTAAACTCTAGTTGACTTGAACTGCTCCTTCCTCTCCCATAGTGAGTGCTGCTGTGCAGGAAATTATAGGAGAGTGATATTGAGAGGTTTAAGTTCTTCAGCAAGCTGTATGTAAAATACATTTAATAATTTTTAATTACTCCACTAGCTTGATAAAATAGTGCCTTTTTCTATGTGTCTGGAGTTTATCTTTCAGCCCCATGAGCAGATACATTCTAACACCCTTCCCCTCCACCCATTTACAAACAAAAAACCTTTTCAAAGCCCTTGAATCTGCAATTACATAACCCTCTGTAACACCTTTTCTGAGATTGAAGACCGGTGGTCTACCACTACGATGCAGGCCAGCTGATGACTAGTGTTTTTGCTCCCCCTCATCATTATGTCATTACACCACCGCTACAGTTTTTAGGACCCTGTGTGGACAACTTTAGGAAGTCTCCATGCCATCATGAAGTGATGTGGGCACCTGATGAAGAAGCCCTAGCTCCCAATATAGTGCAAATGTTTAGCATAGGTTGACCATGCTAGATATATATATATATTAATCCAGAGTGAAGATGGTGAGTAAAGTTTAGTGTTGTGTGATTGAAGGGGCCGGGCATAGACAAGGCATATATTCTTGCCTTGAATATTCCATGGTGTCAGCAGTAAATAAGCTGATTGTTTTAATGATTGTTGTTAACAGCCCACCAAGGGGAAAAAAAAACAACATTGAAGTGTTTGCTTTGCAGGCAATGGCTGATTCAAAGACCTATTCAGGTATGAAAGAATATGTTGGACAATAAGAAGTCATGCTTTAAGCAAAATATTCTTACTTTTACATCATATTGTATATTTGATTATCTTGCCTTCCCACCTGGTACAATATAGTAATAAAATGTATCAGCACTCACCTTGGCAAACTTCCCAGATTGTAATGTTGGCTTCTTGTCCAGTTTGCTCAGGCTGGAGCTGTCCAACAGCTTTTGCGTGGGCCATTTAGAGAAATCAATGGCCAGACTGCTGAGAGGGCTACAGAAGTACAGCTTAGGGAAAAACAAGTGCTTCATCAAAGGACAAGTGAAGAAGAAATTATAGTGTTTTATCACAATTTCTAATATTTTAAGAATTTTTTAAACAAAAATATTATTTAAATGATATTACGTGAATGTAATTTAATATTTGATTTCATGACTATAGAATTTAGCCCTAATGCAAAATAATTACAATAATGAAAATTTTAGATGCCATTGTTCCATATTCCCATTATGGAATTGGTGATGGAATTAGGCCTCTAAAGAGAAGAGCATGGTTTGTGAGGTGGGTAATTAAAGTGTTGTTTTAGTTCCCTGCCAGGTGATCAAATATTTCCACGTAACTGTTACATTTTGAAAAATCCCAGTTTTATTGAAAATCCCCATTCACCAAATATGTCCCCATTTTTTTAAAGACAGTTCACATATTAGACCCCAGAAGATGTGCAGCTTAATAATAATAATATTATTATTATTTGTGTTTTTAGGTATTGTGGGATAAGTGATTCAAATTGGCT